TAAAATACCCTTTTGGTTTCTGCAGTTGTGAAGTTCTTTTGGAGGTATATTTGTACTGGGGGAGGTCAGAAAGGTCCACAGCGATAGCCTTGGCTGATGCTTTTATCACATCAGGTAAAAAAAAAATCACTTTCTACTGTAGAAGCTTTTTCTCTCCTTAGAGAAGTACAAGTTACCCAATTCGCAGATACTGCTTCTGAGTACAAAACTTTGGCTGTTTCCAGTGGATTTGTTGGGTTTGTGGTTATTTTTTTGCTAATAAAATTTGGGGGTCAGAAACAAGCAAAGAATAAAAAAAAAAGGAAAAAAGAAAGATTCAGACTTCAGTGGAGTTTCTTTTAAGATTTTGAGGGAACTGTAGGGTACTGAGCACCTTGTTTTGTTTCTAGCTTCGAACTTCTGTACCTGGAAATCTGTACGTTTCTGATTGCATTTCATTTCACTTTCTTTCCATTTCCTTAATATTTATGTTTATGTTTATGTTTCTGTTTATGTTTAATGGGATCTCTTTCCTTCCAAGTGATTGGATCTTGTTCTTGCTTTGTGAAATTTGCATATTTTTGCTTTGTTTGTGTTTCCAAGTTGAATATATAAGTTTATCGGTGTGCGGTTTATGATTATGAATAAAGATTGAATCTTTACATATTTGGTTGATAGTTACAGTATGTGATCTTAATGTTCTGAATTTTGCTTTTTCTGCCTATTCCTGTATTAGATAGGTATGTTTTTTTTTGTTTTTTTTTTTTTGATGTGGGGTTTATGATTTATGAATAAAGATTGAATCTCTTGATGAGTTATAAATGGTTATTAAGTTGGGAATTGTGATTTGTGAAAAGGCGTGAAATTCTTGAGATTTTCATTGACGGGTAGACTCTGGTTTCTTGATGTTTTCGTTCGATTTGAAACTTTTTGCAGAAAGAATAAAATGGCCAGGGATATTAGTGGTGGATCGCAAAAGCACCACCACGTAGAATCCAAGAAGAAGAGGCTCACTTGGATCTTCGGGATTTTTGCGCTCTGCATAGCATGTTACATGTTAGGAGCTTGGCAAACCACTTCTGCCCCTGTCAATCGATCTGAGCTCTACCAAAGGGTTGGTTGTGATGAAACGTCATCTCAATCCGGGAACAAAACCTCCTCACCCGTGTCATCATCTCCGCTTCGCTTGGACTTCGAAAGCCATCATCAAGTGGACGTCAACAAAACCGAGGCCGTTCAAAAGTTCCCACCGTGTGACATGTCCTACAGCGAGTACACTCCATGCCAGGATCCAAGAAGGGGGAGGAAATTTGACAGGAAAATGTTGAAACACAGAGAGAGGCACTGCCCTACCAAAGAAGAACAACTTCTTTGCCTTATTCCTGCTCCGCCAAAGTATAAGACTCCTTTCAAGTGGCCTCAGAGTCGTGATTTTGCTTGGTATGACAACATTCCCCATAGAGAACTCAGCATTGAGAAAGCTGTCCAGAATTGGATTCAAGTCGAGGGTGACAGGTTTAGATTCCCCGGGGGAGGTACCATGTTTCCAAGGGGAGCTGATGCGTACATAGATGACATTAACGGACTCATTCCTCTCACTAAGGGCAACATCAGAACTGCAATTGATACCGGCTGTGGTGTAAGTAGCACATATATGTGCATAGATGTGTATATATGTATAATTGATTCACACTCCATTATTGCTAGTAAATTTTGATACACTTTCCTGTTTTGCTTATTTAGGTAGCCAGTTGGGGTGCTTACCTGTTGAAGAGGAACATCGTGACAATGTCTTTTGCACCGAGAGATTCGCATGCAGCGCAAGTTCAGTTTGCATTGGAGCGTGGAGTTCCCGCTATGATTGGTGTCATGGCTTCTAAGAGGCTTCCCTACCCTGCAAGGGCTTTCGATATGGCTCACTGTTCCCGCTGCTTGATCCCTTGGATGAACTATGGTAAAGTGTCTCTGTCTCTCTTTCTAGTTTGCTTCAACATATTAGACTATCTCACATTACTATGTATGTATCTATTCAAACCTCTTCACCTAACAACTTCATCTAAATATTGGATTAGATAATAATTAGTGAGGATCTACTATTCTTAGGCTTAAAATGTTGAAGTAAAATTCACCACTAATTTCATATGATTTGGTTTTGAATGCATGTGGATTTTATTTTGGACTATTTTTGCAGATGGTATGTATCTCATTGAAGTGGACAGAGTTCTAAGGCCTGGTGGTTATTGGGTTCTCTCCGGGCCGCCTATTAACTGGAAAAAACACTGGAGGGGATGGGAGAGAACTGAAGAGGATTTGAAGCAAGAGCAAGATTCTATTGAGTCTGTTGCAAAGCGCCTGTGCTGGAAGAAGGTGATCGAGAAGAATGATCTTGCAATCTGGCAAAAACCTATCAATCACGTCGAATGCATTAAGAGCAGGAAGGTGTATAAAACACCACATATATGCAAATCAGACAATCCAGATATGGCTTGGTACTACTCCCTGTGCTTTGTTCGTGTTTTTGTTCATTTGATTTGGAATGCGAATTCTCCTGTACTTAACTCTGCTTAATGTGGCATGTTTTGTGCTTAAAAGGGAAAGAGACATGGAGAGTTGCATTACTCCTCTACCGGAGACAAGCGATCCTAATGACGTTGCTGGTGGGGCGTTAGAGAAGTGGCCTGAACGTGCATTTGCTGTCCCTCCTAGAATCAGCAGTGGTTCAATACCAGGAATCACAGCTGAGAAACTCCGTGAGGATAATCAACTGTGGAAGGAAAGGGTGGAACATTACAAGAGGATTGTACCAATTTCCAAAGGAAGATATCGGAATGTGATGGACATGAATGCTTACCTCGGTGGATTTGCTGCAGCATTGTCAAAATATCCAGTGTGGGTTATGAACACCGTCCCTGCCAACTCAAACCAGGACACCCTTGGTGTAATTTACGAACGTGGTTTTATTGGAACGTACCAGGACTGGTGTGAGGCTTTCTCCACGTACCCTAGAACATACGATCTCATCCACGCTGGTGGGGTCTTCAGCATATATCAGGACAGGTAAAAACTCATTCCGCAATAATTTGCACTTGATGTTCGAATTTCGCAACTTTGAGGCCTAATGTGGTTTGTACATTGCAGGTGTGACATAACACTCATTTTGCTGGAGATGGATAGGATTCTGAGGCCGGAAGGAACAGTTGTGTTTAGGGATACAGTAGAGATCCTGGTGAAGATAAAGGCGATTACCGACGGAATGAGGTGGAAGAGCCAGATTATGGATCACGAGAGTGGACCTTTTAACCCAGAGAAAATTCTTCTTGCAGTGAAAACTTACTGGACTGGTGAAGAAAAAAAGGAAAGCTAGTAGAGATGTAGCAGTGTATTCTTCTTTCCCTTTTGCTTGCAATTCTACTTTTTCTTCTTTTTTTTTTTTTTTTTTTGTTAACTTTTGTTCTTAACCTCTCTTCTCTTGGTGCATGATCAATGTTTTGCTCTGGGATTTTGTAAAAACAGTATAATCTGCTTCCAAGTGGGAAATTGGATAGTTTCTTCTTTGATCAATCGGAGAGGAAAAGTGTCGTTAAACTAAGAGCTAGTCAGTTTTTAGTTGTGAAGATATTTAGCAACAAGTGTTATGGTTAGTAATTAGCCTTACTGGCTTAGGAGTTGGGTAATCCATCTGTTGAAGCTTCATATGTTAAAATTAATTTGAATAATCTTCCTCTATACTTTTATCTTTTAGTTTTATTATCTTCTCCACGTAAAAGTACTTTATTATAAAAAGGGATGATCCAATTTTCTTACCTATGATATTGTAGGCAATGTTTGCCTGCTTTGGGAGAGTAGTCAAAGTTTGGCTGCTCATTTGTCTATTCCATTGAAAATGCTCCAGATTCTTGACTCTTAACATTAGAGAAAAGGTTCTGGGCTTGTTATTAAATAAAATCATTAGGGTTGGTAGGTTGAATCTGGCGAATTGGGCCAAGGCAATCAGGCATACCGAAGTCTTAGGTTGTTGTTAAAGCTACAATGTTGGAGATGGAAGGGCTCCCCAACTAATAGGCTAACAGTGAGACTTGAAGGAAGTTGAGATTTTATTATAAAATTAATTGATAATTTAAAAAGTAGTTTAATTTTTTTGGATGCGTTTGTTGCATTAAACTATATCGGACTGGACTAACTTTAAGGACTAAGTACTGACTTAGAATAAACCAAGACTAAGCACTGGCTTAGAATAAATCAAGTTATATTAACTTAGTGGAGACTACCCTAATAAAAATAATAATAATTAATTCTCTCTTTTTTTTCTTTTTTTTTTCTTGTTCTTGAACACTCTCTCTGGACCAAGAAATATCTCTCTTCCGTCTCCTTTTTTATGTCCAAATTCCACAACTTTCTCCCTCCATTTCAATTGATAAAGCTCCCAAATCACAAAACGCAACACAATCACAAAATTCAATTGAAATCAAAATCGAAATTGCAGATGGGTCTCCTGTATTCGTGATGGCGATGCTCACGGTGTCCTTAAGTACCGTTTGGTACGCAGACAGGACGGGACAAGAAGGAACGGGACGGAACGGACGTTCCGTGTTATGTTTGTTATGCGTAGGACGGAACAGGACGGTTGTTCCGTTCTGCGTTTGGTAGCGCATGGACGGAACGGAACCAAAAGATTAAAATGACTAAAATACCCATGTTCCATATGTTATTTGGTACAATATTTATGCGTGGAACGGGATGAGACCTTTTTTTTTTTTTTTGGTTCAAATTTGAACACTATTTGCTTATCCATTATTTGTTTTTCCTGGTCCAAATTTTATTAGGTATATGTTGTGTTCCACATGCAAACCCCTTTAAAATTTGTAATTCTTCTATGATTTAGGTTGATGAAGTCAGACTTCCTCAAGCCAGTGAATATTGGAAGTGATGAGATGGTTAGCATGAATGAGATGGTTGATTCTGTCTCTATGGTCATGGTTGCCATGCAATGTTGAAAAATATATAAGTTTAATGATCATGCATGACCTGAACAAACAAGCATATAATTGCACCATAAGTTAACATACATCGTCATATAGGGCGATAAAGGTAAATAAATGCCTAAAAAATTACTAATTCCACCTCAAAGTAGTGCCTCTTGATCTCCATCTCAACATCAAGGCCAGTGAACTCACACAAATGCCTATGGGTAAAGGAGTCCTCAGCTCTAAAAACAGGACCAATCTCAAAAATACGGCCGAAGTCCCCACATATAGACATCTGCTTGTGAGCTGAGGTGACTGGGCAAGGCAGGCATCTTGACCCTTGTAGTTGAGTCTAAAAACAGCAGCTCCACCTTTACTTGAACCAGCAATCAGCTTTGGCGAGTGGATTTCAAAAAAGCATTCGGATATCAAGAACTGCCTAAAGATCTACACAACAATGCAACCGACATACATAACTAAACTCTTAACGATTTTCTCTAGCTTTAAAAAGATAAAAAGTTGCAAATGGTGGAAAAACTACTTACATTGCCAAGTTGACTCTGAATGCGGAATATCCCTTGATTCGCAGGTGTTCGCAAATCAAGAACTTGGTTATTCAAGTGGGCATCCTGATTAACTCAAACAATTGTTTCGCCGGCCTATAAACCCATCATACCACCCAATGAATATACACATACTAAGAGAGAAAGTCCCAGAGAGCTTAACAAAGCTTCAATAATCCCTTTCAAAATAAATCATCTAAATGTACCAGCAAAGCCTTTTCGATTTCGACATCACTCCGAGCAGCATCCTCAATGTTAATAGGTAAAACAGCAGCCTTACTCACACAATACAACTTCCTCACTTGAACCTCCACCTAATTAAGATCAACATCTCAATTATTTCAATCAAAACCCAATACAATCAGAGGAACTTTCAATCCTTTTCTTTCTTGTTTTTTCTTTTTTTTCCATTTTTTTCTTTCAAGAACCTAATTAAGATTATTATTTATTCATCAATTTCTTCTGAAAATCCATGGATATCATCACCATCAATCACCCCAAAATCCCCAGCAGAAAAACAACCTTGTTTCCGCCCAAACCCCATCCACTGTTTTCATTGCCTAAACCCAGCATGACCCGTCCAACCCAAAACCTAGCGAAGAATGCACTCGCACTCCCAGTTGCACAAATCTTAACAAAACCCAGTAATTAACAAATCAAATCTGATAATTAACAAAACCCAGTAATTAACACAACCCAAATCAGCAACAAAAGATATCAATCGCATACCTGGGTCAATCTGTAGTGCGACGGTAGTGGCTCCGTGCTGCTGTGTGCTGGCTGGGTGCAGTCGACGGCTACGGGAGAGGATGAAGAAGAAGGATGAGGAGGAAGGATGAGGATGAAGTCTACGGGAAGAGAGAGCAGCGGCAGAGAATGGTGTAAATATTGAAAAAGACAAGGGGTATTTTTGTCTTAAAATGTTATAAATTTATGTCCCACGGACGTGGAACAAACCATTCCACCGGGGGGTGGAACAAAAAATCATCCAAAACTTGTCCCGTGGAACAGGTCCTTCCACTCGTTTTAGGCGCACCAACCATGGGACAGAACGCCTCGTCCCACTTTGTTCCGTCCCATCCCGCGTACCAAACGCGACCTTATAGAACCCAATGACGACGCTTAGATTCCAATCTTGACTTGAGTCTAAGTCGCGAACCAGGACTGACCAGTTAAGAACCTCATCTCCTCAAGCTTGAAAATCACTGGGTTAGGTCGGTTTGTGCTCGGTCTAGTGGTGTGATTTTGCAGGATAAAGGACAAAAGAGAGGAAGCAAGGAGAGAGGGAGAGGAAGCGATTCTAGGTTCAGGACGATGAGAGAAGGAGAGAAAGCGAAGTAAGCAGCCATGAGATAACGAAACCAGTAGGGAGAGGCATCTTAGTGAGTCCCATGGTTTTTTTTTTAGGGGGGGGACATGCCAAGACCGACTAGCCTCGTTGTTAGTCAAGGTGAGTCCTCGCTAGTACCACTTAAGTTAGTCCCTGCTACTTAGTATTACGATATAATGATATTTATCTTCACTTGTAAGTGAGAGGCCTTAGGTTCGATTCTCGCTAAAGGCGACATTATTGCTAGCCCATTGTGAGGTTAAGAACACCCCCTTCCCCTTAGTGTAGATAATATCGGTTGTTCAAAAAAACAAAAAGTTAGTCCCGCAAGCAAACAAACATGGATTGCACTAAATCTTTAATCCAATCCAATTCAGTGAGAGCTAAGGCCATCTCTAACCGAGCCGGCTAGAGGGCAATAGGGCCAAAAATAGCTAGAAATGAACCAAAAACCGTCTCCAACCGAGGGCTAGGCCAAAGGCCTTGTGGGCCCCATCGAGCCAAAAATATCAAATCAAGTCAACCGATTGGCCCAAATGAGCCAGCCAGCTAGCCCCAGGCCGTCCCACTTTAGAATCCAACGATTACCTGGCGTCAGTATGACGCCATGTGATCGTTGGATTTGAATTTTTTTTTTCCTGACAAAATTAAAAAAACAAATATTAAAAAATTCCTATTTTTTTCCTATAAATACCTAAGCCATTCCTACACCATTCCATACTATCTTACTTCATTTTATTTCAATTCTTCACATTCTATTCTCTTACCTCTTCCAATAATCTTTCCTTCAAAATTTTCAATAATTTTCAAATGGCCGGATCTGCATTGAAAGGTAGGGCTTGGACCCGAAAAGAAGATGAAGCTCTTTGCAGGACTTATGGATTGGTCTCGGAAGATAGTGTGAGGGGGAGTTCACAAACAAGTGAAGGTGTTTGGACTCGTACGTCCAAAAAGTACTATGAGTTCTACGAAGGCACCACTCCACCGAATTCCCGAAACCACGAAAGTTGTACTTTAAGATGGAAAAAACATCTTCATCCAAGTTGAATAAATGACATCAAGCAATGTTAAAGGTCGAAAGCAGACATAAAAGTGGAGCTAATTACTACAATGAAGTAAGTGTTTTCACAAGTTATTTTAAATATTTAATTATATTACATTTAATTTCATAAATTAATTTCATTTAATTTTTGTAATTATATTTTCTAGGTACGCCAAGCAAAGGAATTGTATATGGAGGACAACTCGAAACCCTTTAATCATCACATTTGTTGGGAAATTTATAAAGGGTGGGTGTATTTGAAGATCCACCTCAAGAAAGAGTTGGTCTTACGCCACTGTTCGGAAATGCATCCTCAAATGCAGTTGGGGATGAACATGGATCTCCTACCATTCAAGAAAAAAGGGTATAAAATCCGTCTTCGGGTGAAGGTTCCATACCTAGGGCTATGGGACGAAACAAGGCTTGAAAATTGAAGGCAAATGGCAAGGCAAAGGATGATTACGCATTTCAACAGGAAATGGCGTCCTCATTGTGATTAATGACAGAGCAAAATTCCTTTGCTGTGGAAGAAAGGAATTGTAGGCACGAAGAACGGGAAAAACAAATTTAAGAAGAGATGGACGATAGGAACATGCAAATGAACACTTCGGATTACACTCCAATGAGTAAGACATATTTTGATAGGAAAAAGAGGGAAATTATGGCCCAACAAGAGTTGTTTACATCCGACTATAATCCTACAATGGCGGATGATGATGATGATTATAGACTTTAAATTTAAGTTGTTGTAGTTTTTAAATTTAAGTTGTAGTTTTTAAATTTTAGTTGTTGTAGTCATTAAATTTAAATAATAAATTATGTTTGACCTATGACCCTTTGGCCCCCTCGGTTGGAGATGATTTTTTGTCACAAGGCTATGTTATGCCTATGGCCCCTCGGTTGGAGATGGTAAGAAATATAGCATGACACTGTTCATTAAAATATTAATTTATTGGAGGGCAACATGGCTAAAAGGAGCTATTTGGCCCTCATTTGGTTAGACATGACCTAAAGAAGGCAAACAAATGCCCTTTACAAGTTTACGTACGATCCATTATCTTATAAATGTGAAATTCATTCTCAAGACTTTAAATATGTAACTTACAAGACTTGTGGTTGAAGTAATATTTATTCAAGATTCTGTTCGACTTCCTGTTTTCAAGGCTTCAAGCTTTATTAGTAGATGATGGACCCAAACAATCACATATAGTGGTGGAGGCCCACATGGTGAGAGGGCTTTGCTTAGCCTAGACCTGATTGTATTGGAACGGCACCCCAGCTGCATGTAAGAGTGACACTTGACATAGATGTCACTGGGATCAAAATTCAAGCAAACGTAGACCTAATAAGTTAATAAATAACACGGTTTATGCATGAGGAAGAAATCAAACAAATAGCTCCAATCACAAAATGATGTGAATCCGATGCCTTAATTAAATCCCAAAATTTCCCCCATTTATTAAAGTGAAAACACATCGAAAATTAGAAATTCAAGCACCAAACAATGTATGCTGCACATGAGTTTTTTAATCATTAGATGAGACGAGTTTAGTTAATCTCTTTTAAAGTATATAATGGCATTTTTTTATTTAATTTGCCAAATATGTCATATATTGTTGTATAAAAAAACTGTTTAAAACATACGAGTCATATGATACATGTGACTTATGATCAATAACCCGTTGTATGTTTAAGATAAGAGCACTAAATGATGTTTCATCTCATAAATAACAAACATGGAATGAAGTTGTCAAAATATGAACTATTAAATCAACCAGATAATCAGACATTATTAATTGATTAAGTGTGCAGATCGATCAACCAGTCCAGATTTCACACAGAATCAAGTCCTTCCAATATTATTGTCTTAAAACCTTTGTGTATATCCATGAAGGGGAGTTGGGTTTTATTTAGTTTGTTGGCTACCACCAGTGTGGGTGCGTGCATGTGTATTTGTGACGGTCATGTTCCCCAAACCAAAAAACCAAAAAACTCCATAAAAATTATATAAACATTTTGGGTGGACCGCGGAAGTTGGAGGAGGGGATTGATTGTTTCGATTGAAAGGATCAAATCACATCGAGGTACCATGTTTCCGAGAGGAGCTGATGCGTACATAGATGACATTAACGCGCTCATTCCTCTCACTAAGGGCGACATCAGAACTGCAATTGATACTGGCTGTGGTGTAAGTAGCACATATATGTGCATAGAAGTGTATATATGTATAATTGATTCACACTCCTCTATTGCTAGTAAACTCTGATGTTCTTTCCTGTTTGGGTATTTAGGTAGCCAGTTGGGGTGCGTACCTGTTGAAGAGGGACATCATGACAATGTCTTTTGCACCGAGAGATACGCATGCAGCGCAGGTTCAGTTTGCATTGGAGCGCGGAGTTCCCGCTATGATTGGTGTCATGGCTTCGAAGAGGCTTCCCTACCCTGCAAGGGCTTTCGATATGGCTCACTGTTCCCGCTGCTTGATCCCTTGGATGAACTATGGTAAAGTGTCTCTGTCTTTCTTTCTAGTTTGCTTCAACATATTAGACTATCTCACATTACTTGATTTGAAGTTTTCGGAGCTGCATACTTCAAAATAGGCATGTGTGTGTATATATGTATGTATATATGTACCAAACCTCTTCACCTAACAACTTCATCTAAATATTGGATTAGATACTAATTAGTGAGGATCTACTACGCTTAGGCTAAAATGTTGGAAGTAAAATTCACCACTAATTTCATATGATGTGGTTTTGAATGCATGTGGATTTTATTTGGGACTATTTTGCAGATGGTATGTATAATGTATCTAATTGAAGTGGACAGAGTTCTAAGGCCTGGTGGTTATTGGATTCTTTCCGGACCGCCTATTAACTGGAAAAGAAAATACTGGAGGGGATGGGAGAGAACTCAAGAGGATTTGAAACAAGAGCAAGATTCTATTGAGTCTGTTGCAAAGCGCCTGTGCTGGAAGAAGGTGATCGAGAAGAATGATCTTGCAATCTGGCAAAAACCTATCAATCACGTCAAATGCATTAAGAGCAGGACGGTGTATAAAACACCACATATATGCAAATCAGACAATCCAGATATGGCTTGGTACTACTCCCTGAGCTTCATTCGTAATTTCGTTTATTTGATTTGATTTGGAATGCGAATTCTTCTGTACTTAACTCTGCTTAATGTGGCATGTTTTGTGCTTAAAAGGGAAAGAGACATGGAGAGTGGCATTACTCCTCTACCGGAGACAAGCGATCCTATGACGTTGCTGGTGGGGCGTTGGAGAAGTGGCCTGAACGTGCATTTTCTGTCCCTCCTAGAATCAGCAGCGGTTCAATACCAGGAATCACAGCTGAGAAACTCCGCGAGGATAATCAACCGTGGCAGTGGAACATTACAAGAGGATCGTACCAATTTCCAAAGGAAGATATCGGAATGTGATGGACATGAATGCTTACCTCGGTGGATTTGCTGAAGCATTGTCAAAATATCCAGTGAGGGTTATGAACACCGTCCCTGCCAACTCAAACCAGGACACTCTTGGTGTGAT